GTAGCACTTACTAAGTACTGGCTGTAGCAGTTACTCAGTACTGACTGTAGCACTTATTAAGTACTGACTGTAGCACTTATTCAGTACTGACTGTAGCACTTACTCAGTACTGACTGTAGCACTTACTAAGTACTGGCTTGTAGCACTTACATAAGTACTGGCTGTAGCACTTACTAAGTACTGACTGTAGCACTTACAAGTACTGGCTGTAGCACTTACTAAGTACTGACTGTAGCACTTACTAAGTACTGGCTGTAGCACTTACTAAGTACTGACTGTAGCACTTACTAAGTACTGGCTGTAGCACTTACTAAGTACTGACTGTAGCCACTTTACTAAGTACTGGCTGTAGCACTTACTAAGTACTGACTGTAGCACTTACTCAGTACTGACTGTAGCACTTACTCAGTACTGACTGTAGCACTTACTAAGTACTGGCTTCTAGCACTTACATAAGTTACTGGACTGTAGCACTTACTCAGTACTGACTGTAGCACTTACTCAGTACTGACTGTAGCACTTACTAAGCACTGGCTGTAGCACTTACTAAGTACTGGCTGTAGCACTTACTCAGTACTGACTGTAGCACTTACTAAGTACTGACTGTAGCACTTACTAAGTACTGACTGTAGCACTTACTAAGTACTGACTGTAGCACTTACTAAGTACTGACTGTAGCACTTACTAAGTACTGGCTGTGCACTTACTAAGTACTGACTGTAGCACTTACTCGTATGACTGTAGCACTTACTCAGTACTGACTGTAGCACTTACTAAGCACTGGCTGTAGCACTTACTAAGTACTGGCTGTAGCACTTACTCAGTACTGACTGTAGCACTTACTAAGTACTGACTGTAGCACTTACTCAGTACTGACTGTAGCACTTACTAAGTACTGGCTGTAGCACTTACTAAGGACTCGTTGTAGCTCTTACTAAGCACTGGCTGTAGCACTTACTCAGTACTGGCTGTAGCACTTACTAAGTTTTGGCTGTAGCACTTATTCAGTACTGGCTGTAGCACTTGCTAAGGACTCGTTGTAGCTCTTACTAAGCACTGGCTGTAGCACTTACTCATTACTGACTGTAGCACTTACTCAGTACTGGCTGTAGCACTTACTCAGTACTGACTACTGCAGTTAGCACTGGCTGTAGCACTTAATACCGACTGCAACATTTGGCACTGGCTATAGCACTTAGCACTGGTTGTAGCACTTACTCAATACCGACTGCAGCACTTAGCACTGGCTACAGCACTTAGCACTGGCTGTAGCACTTAGCACTGGCTGTAGCACTTACTCAGTACTGACTGCTGTAGTTAGCACTGGCTGTAGCACTTAACACTGGCAGTAGCACTTACTCATTACCGACTGCAGCACTTAGCACTGGCTATAGCACTTAGCACTGGCTGTAGCACTTGCTCAGTACCGACTGTAGCACTTAGCACTGGCTATAGCACTTAGCACTGGCTGTAGCACCTAGCACTGGCTATAGCACTTAACACTGGCTGTAGCACCTAGCACTGGCTGTAGCACTTAGCACTGGCTGTAGCACTTACTCAGTACCGACTGCAGCACTTAGCAGTCTCTATAGCACTTAGCACTGGCTGTAGCACTTACTCAGTACCGACTGCAGCACTTAGCACTGGCTATAGCACTTAGCCCTGGCTGCAGCACTTAGCACTGGCTGTAGCACTTAACACTGGCTATAGCACATAGTCCTGGCTGCAGCACTTAGCACCGGCTGTAGCACTTAACACTGGCTATAGCACTTAGCCCTGGCTGCAGCACTTAGCACTGGCTGCAGCACTTAGCACTGGCTGTAGCACTTAGCCCTGGCTGCAGCACTTAGCACTGGCTGTAGCACTTAGCACTGGCTGCAGCACTTAGCACTGGCTGTAGCACTTAGCACTGGCTATAGCACTTAGCCCTGGCTGTAGCACTTAGCACTGGCTATAGCACTTAGCCCTGGCTGCAGCACTTAGCACTGGCTGTAGCACTTAGCCCTGGCTGCAGCACTTAGCCCTGGCTGTAGCACTTAGCACTGGCTGTAGCACTTAGCCCTGGCTGTAGCACTTAGCACTGGCTATAGCACTTAGCCCTGGCTGTAGCACTTAGCACTGGCTGTAGCACTTAGCCCTGGCTGTAGCACTTAGCACTGGCTGTAGCACTTAGCACTGGCTGTAGCACTTAGCACTGGCTGTAGCACTTAGCCCTGGCTGTAGCACTTAGCACTGGCTGTAGCACTTAGCACTGGCTGTAGCACTTAGCCCTGGCTGCAGCACTTAGCACTGGCTGTAGCACTTAGCACTGGCTGTAGCACTTAGCCCTGGCTGTAGCACTTAGCACTGGCTATAGCACTTAGCCCTGGCTATAGCACTTAGCACTGGCTGTAGCACTTAGCACTGGCTGTAGCACTTAGCCCTGGCTGTAGCACTTAGCACTGGCTATAGCACTTAGCCCTGGCTATAGCACTTAGCCCTGGCTGTAGCACTTAGCCCTGGCTGTAGCGCTTATTTTCTATATAAATGACACAGTTTGTCTCACTAAGTTTTCGAGAATAACGATCTTCCTCTCATTCATTTATCATAATTTACCATTGTGGTTCTTCGTCAATGTTTACCATATTAAGGCAAATTTTAATGATCATTTTCGTGATTTTCATGGTTCCTTTTTATCATGTTAATAAATATATCATTATCGTTTTTGTCAACTTCTAAGATTTAAGCTACAGTTCTTCTGTAGACTTGTTCTCTCTTATTCACACATTATTTCCAATAGAACAGGAATTTCTAAATGTGTTTAGAAAGTTTTGTTAGAAACGTTTTAAATATTTCAAATAAATAAATTTAATAGTGATGGTGTGTTGCCTTCACTTGTTTTGA